CCCCCCACCCCTTCCGTCTCCCAGGCCCGGTGAGGTCAGCTCATGAATATTGCTTCATTTTCCTGAGAGGCTCTGGCAGCGGCGGGTACCTCGTGCGCGGTGCCCGGCTCTCCGTGCATGCATTTCACCAGCCGGGCAGCGGACACAGTGGTGGTGAGTAATGCAGATGCTTTAGATCCAAGCCTTTTTTTTTTTCTTCTACTTTTTTTTTTTTCTTCTCCCCAAAAAGGAAATATTATTCCTAATGCAGATGTAAAAAACCCGCCAGGTATGGGGGGGGAAGCACCTTCAAAAATCGCCTCCGCACCTTTAAACCAGGACAAAAGGCAGAAGCACTCCCAAATCTTAAGCCGCGCTTGCGAATTCTCGGCTGGGCAGAGGCGGATGCCCGGTAGGACGAAAGGACCAGGGCCAGGGGGATGCCCCGCCCGAAGTTCGGGGCACGGGAGAGTCCTGCGCTGGCCCGTGGAGCCACCGGACTGCTCCCTTTTGTTGCTTCCATTTATTTACCCCTTATTCCGCCTGGACAGCTGTTCCCGACAGGAAAACCTGCGGAGACGCCGCGTCCCGGCGCCACGTGGGTTTGTCTCTGGGGAGAAGGTCGAGCTGTGGAGTTTTGTGAGGACAGAGATTTCGGACTTGGTCTCAAACGGGGCTTTCGTTGTGCCAGTTAAAAACGTATAAAATTACATATACATATATATGTATATATATATATATATAATCAGCCAACTTAACCCCAGGCGGTAGTGGATCTTGGATTTTGGGGTATGCAGGGTAAGGGGTTGTGTTCTGGCAGGTCGCAGTTGAGTTCGATGTCTTAGTTGCAGTAAAAGTTCCCTAAAAGAGTCAAGTACAACATAGGGTTCCCGATGATTAATTACATTTCTTGTATTTCATACCTATATAGCTCCAAACAACGGTAAGGTGGGAATCCTGTTTTTGATGGCTAATAGAAATGCAAGGAAATCTTTTATAAAGTGTTGTCATACAAGTTTTATAGCTCCATATGCTGCTTTTTTTTTCTTTTTTTTTTTTCTTTTTTTTTTTTTTTTTACTAATTAATGCTTGGGAAGTGTCTGCCAAATTGTCTCATTCTGAGCATTAATTTCCAGAATATTGGTTTAAATCAGGTTATTAATGACAGCGCATTAGAGAGGAAATGATGTCCTCTTGCCAGTGACAGCAGAGCAAACACAGCCTCATTGTCTAGTATGTTCGAGGGAGTAAACCAATTGTCAGACCATGGTATAGTCTCTGCATTGATTTTGCCCAGTCGTGTTTCTTTCTTTATTCCCTGCTCTAGCAGGGAATAGTTAAGCCATGTTCTAGGATGGAATGGGCAGGCCATGTTAGGAATGCTGTCATTTCTGCTGTTGCCCATGTTTTCTCCCTAAGGAGAGTTGAATAAAGGCAGGGTGAAAACAGTTTGTGGATCATAGCCATTATTTTCAAAATATATTGGGGACATTAGCAGCATCATATGGCTTTTAACAGCCCTTTTTAATAATCGTTTGTTGTCATGAAAACTCTGGTTGTGTCATTATAGGGGCAAATTGCCAAGTGAGCATCCTTCAGAGAATGCCACATAATATTTTGTTCTGGGTGAGGGTGTATTCCTTGCTTCTTCTGTTTTGAAAATCTGCTGGAATGATTATTTCTGAGTCCTATATAACCTATCAATATGCATAACTGGTAATAGAAATGAATAGGTCTTAAGTCCTGACAGCACCTCTGGATAACAAACTGGGGCAAATGTGTGTTTAGAAGCTGAGTGCAAAACCCCTTTCCTTTATGACCCTAGATTCCCGAGTCACCTTGCCCCGGAAGAGTCGCTGTCAAAGCTGAAGGGAAATCTGTAGTTGCTTCCACGTGTGCAGCCCTTTGTACAGTAGCTTTCCCCCACTCGGCTGTGATAGACACTGGGACGAGGCCTTTCAGCAGGCAGACAGGTGCATTAGCAACCCAGGCTTGGTGGTGAGGACAAGGGAGAGGGAAGTTTGTGTGTGGGAGGAAATTCATCCCTGGGGTGGCAGTCCGGTGGGGGAAGGTTCGGCATCGGGGCAGGGGACACGCCCCTAAGTGCAGGCGGAGTGGGAACAGGTCTCAGCCTCAGCCGAGCCCTTCCATGAGCCGCTCCGGTTGGCTCTGGGCTGCGGCCTGGGCCGCTCCGGGGGACCGCTCCGCCCGCAGGTGGGCGCGGGGCAGGGCTGGGGGCCGGCGGGGCGCAGCGACGGCGGGGAGCGGGCAGGCTGGCCGCCGCCGTGGCCGGAAAGCCCGTCTCCCCGTCCTCCCCGTCCCCACCCCGACCGCTTCTCCGGTTCTCCCCCAGCTCTCGGGGCGGCGGCGGCGGAGGAGGCGGAGGACACCGCCGGTGATGGACGCGTCCCCCAGATAGCCGCCGCCATGAGCCAGCCGCCTGCAGGGGGCGCCGCCGCCGAGCCGCGCCTGCATCCCGAAGGCAGCAGCGGCAGGAAGCAGCCGCGGGCATCCTCGCCGGCCCGGGCCCGCGACGCCGCCCCGCGAGGAGGCGCCCCCTGCAGGGGGCGGCGGGGGCGAGCGGGAGGGGGCGGCGGCGCCGCCGCCCAAGCAGTGGCGGGGGAAAGCGGGGCGGTCCCCGCTGAAGGGCGCGGGGGAGGCGGCCCCGGCGCCTCCATCTTCCTCGGGCGCGGGGAAGGGCCGCGGTGCGGCGGCGGGCGGCGGCGGGTACTGGAAGGAGGGATGCCTGCAAAGTGAGCTCATCCAGTTCCATCTCAGGAAAGGGCTGGCGGCGGCCGCCCAGATGCAAACCAAGGGCAGCAACCACAGCAGCAGCAGCGGCAGCGCTGCCTCCGCCGCCTCCGCGGCCGCCGCCCCGGCCGAGCCTCCCCCGGCCGCCTCCGCCTCCTCGCCCGCTGCCATGGCGGCGGCCGGGGCGGAGGGGCTGCGGCAGGGCGAGGTGGAAGGCGACGGCAGGAGCTGCGGCCCCGAAGTCGCCCTGAGCCCCCACCTGCAGGAGGAGATGCAAGAAGAGATGGAGAAACTGCGGGAGGAGAACGAGAGCCTCAAGGTGAGGGGCCGGGGCGGCGGCGGGGGTGGGGGAGACCCAGGGCCGGGCGGGGACCGGGTTGCTTGCCGGCGGGAGGACCTCCCCGGCCTCCTTCTCTTGCGGCAGGAGCACTGGAAGCTGCGTTAAGATGGCTCTGTTGTGGGGTGTGCGGGCAGTGCCGCTTCCCTGCTTCGTTGCAGTGCTTATAATGAGCTGGATTGTATTTACCTGCCCTCCCTGCGGGGCGGAGCTCCATTTTGGCTGCCTTCCCCTATATGTGCTGACATTTGTGCTTTTGACCCACCTGTTGCATCCCTGTCCCCTTCTTGCCCCCGTGCCAGAACGAAATAGATGAGCTGAGGACAGAGATGGACGAGATGAGGGACAGTTTCTTTGAGGAGGATGCTTGTCAGCTTCAAGAAATGCGCCATGAACTGGAGCGAGCCAACAAGAACTGCCGGATCCTTCAGTACCGGCTGCGCAAAGCTGAGCGCAAGAGGCTCCGCTACGCCCAGACTGGCGAGATCGACAACGAGCTCATACGCAGCATGGAGCAGGACCTCAAGGTACAGACATGAGCAGGTGTCAAGGGGAAGGCAGCGTCTCAGATGGAGACACAACCATGCTCTTGGTCCTCATGACTCAGGTGTTTCCATGCATTCCGCTGTGCACCCAGCGCAGCTTGTGGAACAGCAATGGCCAAGCTCTTCTTGGTAATAGGAGCCCTTGCTGTATGTAGCTCTTATGATCATTTTTGTAATGTGCAAGGAGTTACTCAAAAGCAAATTAGAAGCTAAAGGTTTTGGGCTCTTTATGATGAGTGCAAAGCATACCCTTCCACTGCAGAATTAAACCAACCTCACCAAACAGCCCCACTGACTTTGAGGGGTTTTTGTTACTCTTTAGTGAAAGATTTTAGGGAGTAAGCAGATTGAATATTGAAGTCACAACACTAAATCCTTACTTTGTTTCTGTCAGTAAAAAAACTGCTGTCATATTCAATGAATCCAGGGTTTTTCACATCGACCTGAAACTGTAGACAAAACCCATCAAATTTCAGTGTGTCATCACCTGCATTTCATCCATAAGATCTGAATGAACCACAGCCTCTTGCTAAGAAAATGTTTCAGTCCTTGTTTAGAGATTGTCATTGGTAAAATACCCATCATCTCCATTCTTGATTGGTCCAATTACAGAGAAAAAAACCTTTCTTGACACAGTTGGAAGTTTAATTTTTGCTTCCATTCACTAGATATTGAAGTACTCCTGCTGAATCAGGACACCTAAACATTTTTCAGTTGACTGGTCTCCCAGTGAACTGACCTTTTCTCATGGAAGTGCAGATCTCTGTACAGTAAATGTGAGCTTGTTGGCCACACTTCTGCCTAGGACTCTAGTTACCTATGGCTCATGGGCTCTGTGGGCTGCAGTTTAAAATGTGAATTTAATACATGATTACGAACAAGGTTATTTTTTAACTTCTTTCTGAAAAATATGATGGATTGAGAGTATGTTATTCTCAGACCTGGTTTGGATCATCTTTTCTGAAAGTTTTCAAGCTTGTCATCACTATTATTAAAATTTCTATTTGATATTCTTTTTCTGTGTGCATTCAAAACCCACATTTTCTGTTGTGGCTGTGACAGTTCTATTAATACAGCTGCCCATGTGGCTCTTGGCAAAATAGAGTCTCCTGATCATAAGCAAAATCACCCTCTTCTAATGGGGATTTCTGTTTGAAACAAGGGATGTTTTGCATGCTCAGAATGATGCTTAGGTGATCAGTTGAGACACACACATTTGCAGGCAGAATTTGAAGGTGGGTCTTCATATCGCAAGTGATTTGTGATTCCAGTTTATAGAGTTGGCTTCTTTGTTGGCTCAGTGTTACTCTTATTAGCAAGTCATACACATCAGACTGGGAAGGGAATTGTTGAGGGCACCTCTGCTGTGGTGCTTGTCTGCCAATATAGGAGATAGAAGCTAAGGCCTTGGGTTTAGCTGGACAAAGATCTTGCTTTAATTAGTATTTCTCCCATGTGTTTCCCAGTGTGACTGACTCATTGGAAAGGAGCAGTGTTCTTGCAGAGTGTTCTCACTGTTCATGAATGTGTTCTGCTTTGGAGTAGGGATGAATGTCTAATGCCAAATTTCTGCCTAATAGAGTTCTGGGTGCTGGCTAACCATAATTATAACTCATATGGTTTTCTGTAGTATTTTCAAGTCCTCTCCTGAAGAAAGATTGTCCAAATTGGCATTGTTCATTTTGCAATATACTAGGGAACTTGATCCTTCAGAGATACAGTCTTGCAGATAGCTGTATGTATCTTGCATATAGCTTATGTATCTTAAAATGTATCTTGCATATGCCTGGATTAAAATGTATCTTGCATGAGTGAGTCCCATTTCCCATGTGATCTAGAATGCTCTGTATTTTTTCCTGCATTAATAGCTATTCCACCAATTTTTACGTCAAAAAAATTAAGTTACCAGTAATTATATTACAATTTGGTTTTGTTTACTGACTGTATCTATTTTATCTGTTTTATCCAGACTGTATCTACAGACCATAGGTTCCATTAGGGTGCTGTTTTAAATATCCCCCATGATTTTCCATTTACTTTGGTTGGACAGTCAGATGAGCAGTTTAATACTAAGTGTAGGAAAAGACATCAAACTAAAGCCCTGTGGTGTGTTTCTCAGCTCATTCTGCAGTCTCTTTGGGCTATGGTTATAATTGAAATTCCCCTCCACTCACTCTTTCTGTTGGGCATTATGTGTCTTGAGTGCGTGTGCAGTGGGGGAGGTTATTGAATGATCTTGTGCTACACTGCAGTGTTGTATCTGTAATTCACACACACTGGGTTTCTTGTCAAGGGAGGCTGAGTCACTAGCTGCTGCTGATTTCTAATACATTGGATCTTTCTAGATGCTTACTTATTATTATTTTTTCTCTAGGGTTTTAGTATGTCAAAAAGCTTCGGACATACTAACATAAAGATGGTTTGAGTGAAAACCATAAAGGACAGCTTGCTGAACTCCCCTAGCTAATGTTAAGTTGGATTAATTACGCTTTCCAGTGTTCTAAAAAAGCAAGAAATGAGGCTTTTCAAATTATGTGTCTGTGTGTCTAAATCACCATCAACACAGTGATTAGTGTATATTTAAATATTTTTGATGTTTTATAATTTCTGGTAGTTTCACAAAATATAGTGCAAGAGGCTTGCAGGGCAAGATTCTCATTACTTTTCCTGAGGAGGAGGAATTAGATCTTGTCGTATGCCTTTTAACTGTATTCCTGTGAAAATGCATAAAAAACCCCCCAAACAACCAAAAACCTTAGTGTTCATTTTAATTTGTGTGAACACGATGTCAGTAAAAATGTTGCTTCTTTGTATTTTAATCTTAAAACGAGCCAATAGCAGTAAATATTTTCATTGATTTTCCACCAAGGAGAAAGAAACTAGCAGAGTCAAAATAAACATTTGTCCATTTGTGGTCACAGGTAGACACAGGTAGGGAAGGCCTGGAGAAGATGGGCCCTGCTTTTAGATGTGTTGCATATCAAGTATTTGAAGGGCGTGTGTTTTAGTGCATTGGAAAGAGTAAGCTAGCTGTGACTGAGAGAAGATAGATGATGCACTGTCCCCAGAAATAGTGAAGGTCCTGTCTAACTGTTGATGTGACAGAACCTAAGAAGGAGTTGGGGTTTAACGTCTGTGTGGTTTTCAGTGAAGTCCATAGGGATAATGCACCATTTTTTCGGAAGGAGTTGGCTTAATTTAGAATTATTTAGATTTCTGTCTGTGGATGTCCTTGTCTACCTGTTTCCTTACATACCTCTTCCATCAAAACACCCAGAATTAACTTCTAAATGGTTGCTTAAGCACTAAGGCCAGCAGCAGTAAATTTTTTTTAACCCTTCTTTTGATATACCATTTCATTTAGGTTGCAAAAGATGTATCAGTGAGACTTCATCATGAGTTAGAAAATGTGGAAGAAAAACGTACTATAACAGAAGATGAAAACGAAAAATTAAGACAGCAGCTTATAGAAGTTGAAATTGCCAAACAAGCACTACAGAATGAACTGGAAAAAATGAAAGAGGTTAGTATTGCTATTTATTTCTACACCAATTATTTGAAGATCTTAGATTCTTACTGATGAACTGTTTTTCTTCTACAGCTTGGTTTGGGGGCAAACAATATGGCAGTCAAAAGTTGAAAATTGTAAGGAGTGCTAAAGTACAACTTGATGATTGTGAAGCTGAGAATAACTGAAATATTTGGTGTTTTCTAGGCAAAACAGGAACCAAGTGGTGCCTTTTTTCTCTCTCTCTACTAGAAGGGAAATGTGAAATTAGTGGTAACAGGAGTACAGAGGTTTTGATACATTGTACCTACATAAATATTCTTATAGGAAGTGTGCTCAAGTGTGCCAGAGGCATCTAACTTTACAGATGATGTTTTCCACAGGTTTTTACAAAGACCAGTAGTTCTTCCCTTGCTAACTACTAGGGACTAGCAGGCACATGGAGACTGGGGATCTAGCCACCTCCCCATCTTGTTCAGTCATGCTCTTTGGAGTACTGGGAAGTGAGAGACTCTACCTGGCTTTTCAATCTAAGCATAATTTTTCATTGTATCTAATTAATCTTCAAAATTACTCCAGCTGCCATTATATAGATGCAAGATACTGTGCCATTAAGTAAGCAGTATTAGCCAGGCTGACAGAGATAACAAAGCAGCAGTAAAAGTCATTCTTAGTTGACTAAGAATGACTTCTCAGAAGAGATTTTAAAAACAGCTCTCCTGTTTCCTCTTCAGGCTTTAAAATTCAATGAATGCCCCTGATTTTCACTTTTAGCAATATGCCCTAGTAGGAACACCAGTGTCTTCTTTGATCTTGTATGAAGCAGAAGAGATGTATTTCAGTTGTCACAAAAGGCAGGGAATTTTCAGTTTTATGATGTTAGGGCATATTTAGGAACTGCAAATGAGTCCTTTACGTGATGTAGTATTAAAAATATTAAAATGTTTTCTTTACAGGGGCTGAATTTCAAGCATGTTAGTAGAGGTCAAACAGGTGGTTTGTTCCACCTTCTGCTGCTTTCCCAGATAACTGCTGATTTTAAAAGGGCATGAAAAAAATCTGAGCCTTAGTCTGTTTTCCCTTCATCTCCCTGAAACTTTTGCCTTCTGTTTTCTCTCTGGTTACTGCCATTAAAGAGAGCTTGGTTTCCTGGACTAGCCTCTTGATAAGAGCATGATCTTTCTGTAATTATCCTTATAACTTGTCTTTAAGATTGGCTTTACTCCAAAGTTTTTGTTATTCTTGTCCATTCAGACTCTACTTTCTTTTAGGTTCTCCGTTCTGGTTTCTCCTTCTCTCTAGTAGATTATACTGATGTAACTTTTGTTTGCCTTGCTTTTTTGAAGCATCTTCAGATTACAGTGATGTTTGGTGGCAATTTAATAGTTTGTGTTCTTTGATATTAAGCCAGTTAATGGACTTCTTCATCCCTGTCATCACTAGTCACTTTCTCCTTATCGTGGTTCTTCCCTCTAGCCCGCTATGTGGAACTACTGTTGCTCCCACACTGCTCTCCACTCCCTTCTTTGGCTTAAGTGTTTAGCCCTTTCTGTTTTTGCTGTTGGTATCAATGAAAGGGTGCTGGAGACTCCAGAAGAGATGGTGTCATGTTTAGGGTCTCTTATTACACAATAATGGTTTTCATGAAGCTGCAGCAGATGGATGTTTCCCAGTGGCACAGAATGGGGGCACTGAGCCAGAATGAAAATGTGAAGTAAGGCTTGACACCATGGTAGGGGTGGAGTGGACAGAGTCAGAAATACATCCCTATACTGAAGTAGGGAGAGCTGCCTTGCACAGTCATTATGTGTGTCATCATAATCAGTAGAATGTATGTATTTCAAATAGGCTGCTGAGTTGCTTTCAGCAGGTAAATGCTGATTTTCAGGCCAGGACTTTCAGCACAGCATGGGGAAGTTGGAGGATAGGTGAGGGGGAGGTGCAAGTCAGAGGAAAAACAAGTTTGAAGCAAAGCCAAATTTTTATGCACTTTGCAAATATACCATGACTTGGGGGACCCATGGAAACATGCTTGTAAAGTATAGTAAATCTTACAGAATCGAAATTTAGAATCTGTGAAGAAGCTATTCAAATGTTAATGCAAAAAAAAAAAAAAACAAAAAAACATGAAAACAACTGAAAGCAGTCTGCATTAGAATTTTTCTGTGACAAATAATTTTTCATTTTCTCTGGCAGTTGAAGGTTTCATGCATTTTAAATGTCATTGTCAGGTAGTCATAATGTTAATTTTCTGTTTGTTTATGAGTTATTTCCTCTAATTTCATGGATTCACAACCCTTTCTCATTTCAATACAGCCATTATAACCAATGGAATCTCCTGCTTAAGGAAGGTCTACTGAGCTTAAATTGAAATATGGGGGAGACCTTTTGTCTGGGTTGTGATCTTTGCTTTATTGTGCATAGGATTAATGGGAACGTATCTCTCTAAAGACAAAGAAACATTTTTGTTTTACAGCATAGTAAAAATGCTTGGAGATGTAATTATTTATTTCTCTACTTTTGCCATCAGATGTACTGCAGAAACCCAAACCTTTCCATTCTTAAAATCTATTTATGTACAACTGCTATGTGAAATTTCTTGTTCTTTAATAATGAACAGTGTGAGATATCAGAGAATTAAAATATGACTTAAGAGAAAATATAAGAAAGAAAGCATAATGTTTTGGTAGGTAGTCTCTAGGGCAGGACCAAAGCCAATGTTCTTTCTTTGTGGATTCTCTGTTGTTTCAAAAAAGCATGGAGACTTGACTGAAAACATGTAGAAAATTTAAAAGGTAGCAGATGTGTTGGTTTCAAGTCAAATCTGGAGTTCTCCAGTTAACATTTGGATTAATATAGACATATGAATGTATTTGTCCATTTATATAAAGATGTAATTGCAGTTTGCCTTCTTGGTTTGGAGCTTTTGGAAAAAAACAAATTATGATAAATTCCACAACAAGTTAGAAATTGTTGTTGATGGCAACAGAAGCTTGCAAGCATCCAGAATTAGGAAGGTGTTCCAACAATGCATACATTTTCTGTCAGTTATTTTTGCTTTCAGTCCCCCAAACTGCAGCTATTTGATGGAAAGTTATTCCTGCATATATCCACACAGACACACGAGATTTTGAATCTGTGTTGGTTTTATTTGTAGCAACTGCTGCTGATTTCTTCTTTAATATTGCTTGCTATCAACTGTAATCCTTTTTGGGAAGCCGAAAACAAAGTAGAGGAATTGTTTCCTAGCAGGAAAGAGAAACCAACAGTAGCTAGACGAAATTTTTCAGATATTAAAAAAAATTAACATATTAATGATAATGAACATGTTGTTCATTGATTAATTAACTTTCATTAATTTGTTGTTAACAAGTAAAGCCTAGCTAATGCTTGTAGACCTTTCTGTTATCATGAACAAAAAATTAATTTGTTTGCTGTAGCTATGTAGCAAACACCCAGTTAGCTGAGGTTTAGTGGCTTGTTGTGAGACAAATGAAGTAAGAGGAAAATATGATAGATATACTGGACCTGGGCTTTACAAATCCTCGTTGCAATGCAGACATGCAATGGCACGAAGCACAGTGTTTTTCAGGGACATGTGTCTCTCTGGATGTGTATAGATTGCTCTGCTACTGCTCCAAGCTGGGCAGATGCAGGGCGGCTCAGTTCTTACAGCTGCTTTGGGGTGGCATTGTCAAGCCACCATTTTCTTCTTCTAAGCATAGACTTTTAGTTCAGATACAGAACCTGTGATAACCATGGCACTGAACCAGAGATGTCTTTTGTCCCTCCAGTTCAGACTGCAGGCAGAGGAGTCTATGCCTCCCTACATGGGCCTGTGTTTTGCTGTAGTGGTGCCTGTCTTGTCAGTCTGGCTCATACACTGCATGCAAATGGAAGAAGGCAACAGGATCTGGGGAACTGGGCACTGCAGCTGGGAGGAAGAATATGAATTCTGTTCCTTATTTTTGACATTAACCTGCTGTGGGACCGCAGGAATGTAATTATATTTTTCTGCTTACTCTTGCAACCTTTGCCTGCCCCGTTTAAGCACAGATTAGCTCTTTATACATCTCTGATTGTTCTGGCTGCATAGACATCAGAAGGATAGCTGGAAATATCACTAAAAATGCGGCTATAAAAAAACCCCAAACAACTCCAAATTCGACCCCCCCACCCCTGGGAAAAAAAAAAAAAAAAAACCAAAAAAAAACAAAAAAAAACCAACAAAAAACCCTCAAAGAACGCCTCAAACCAACAGACCCACACTGCAAAAGATCTGGTAAGATGCTGTCCCAGTCCCCTTGATCACCCATACCAGCTTGCCTCACTTTTCTAGGAGGAAAATCCAGTATCTCCTCTTTCTTTTAACCCTTGCTTTCTTTAAGCCCATTCTCCTGCCACAACCACTCATTTCAAGTCTTTCTTCTATAACTCACAAAGCCTCACATTCTCCAGATTCTATCACTCAGTCTTGATCCTGTCTCTTTTCTCTTTCTCTTTTTTCTTTCTCTTTTCTATTTTTTCTTTTTTCTCTTTCACTTTCTCCTTTTCTTTCTTTTTTTCTTTTTCTTTTATGTCTGATAGTAGTAGTTGTTTTGCTGTCTTCTGATTTCTAAGTCCCAGTCTTGTCCTTCTCTCCCACCATTCTTTCCTTCCCTGCATCCTTCCAACTCTTCGTGAGTGTCCATTCTCCTCTCTGGATTTCAAGAATTTTCCAGTTCATTTTGCTCTTATTCTGCTTCAAATATATTATCCCCATTTCTTAGCTGCAACTTCTATCTGCTGTGAAATTTTTACTTTTCCCCTGGTTCCTCCACCCCCTCATGCAAATCTGTCAGCTTCCTTGGTTTGTTCTGTTCCTTTCCTTGTTTCCAAGCCTTAGCTTGTCATTTTTGCATCTGGACTGAGAGCAGTGGAGGATCACTCTCTGTGCTAGGAAACAGGAACTTTATCACTGTGAGTACCTGAAGGAAGGTTTCTGGTTCTAATGTCTGGCTTTAGCTTTATCCAGA